ATAAACTGTTCAGATATTAGTAGATTTGCCAGTCCTTCAAAATTATCTTCACACTTAGCCATGTCAGTCCATCTTGTGAAGTAATGCCACAGGTGCACCACATACTGAAATAGTTTCTTGAATGTCAGATTTGAATTCTCTGAATTTCTGGCAAAAAGACTTCCTCAGGAAGTTCAATAGTGCTTCAGCGAGGCCACTTTTAACTTGTCATAGTCCATGACATCTCCTGACATCATTCCCGCATACACTTGTATGCCTTTTGCTATGAGAAGGGGGCTGAGACCGATTACCCAGTTGCCATTGTCCCAGTTATGACTTTGAACAAACCTTTCATACCTTTCCAAGAATGCACCCATGTTGTCTTCATGTTCTTGAAATTTTCTAATGTCTTCCATGATTCTGTTGGGTGAGCAAGGCAATCTCAATTTGTGCTCTTATTCATTCTATTTTCCAGTTTCTTATCTCTCTCTTTTTTCTTTCTCTTTCCAAGCTTGTGTTTCATGCTCACGTTCTTCTTTCAGTCTTTCTCTTTCTTCCTCTCTTCTCTATATTTCCTCCTCTCTTTTTTTTCTTAATGCTCTTCTCTCTCTATAGGGCATTTTTTTGTTTAACAAACTATTGTAGATTACTATTTTTGAGCCCAAGTCACTTGCCCCTCTCTATCCACTTATCAAAATCAGTCAACACAGTTATGTAGTGGGGTTGTGACTTCTACAATATTTTTATCACCACTACAGTTGGGTTATATGGGCCTCTTGTCAGCTCACTTGGGGTATATAACTGAGTATAATCACAAGTACTAAAGATACAGGCTAAGATCTAACAGCAAGTGCTTCACAGGTCAATTCCTCCCATCAATACTTTCAACACTCTATAGTGGAATCTTCCAAGATGATGAAGGGAGATGAAACCTGCTCATTAAGGTCATTAATTTCTCAATGAATAATTTTCTCTTCAGAATACGAGTCACCATAGAAGGATAGTATAACCAATAAAGTCATTGACAGAAATTGCCTTCCAAAAAATAGAGAGAGAAAAAGTCTGGAAGGAAGATGTTGATCAACCAGCACAGCAATTCCTCCATGAATCCATACGTCCTTTCTAATTAGAAAAAAACTGCAATATTGTTATAGCATCAGCAGTTTTCAAGAAAGTCTCCTGTAAGGAGATACACCCAGGATGGTAAGAGTCAAAGACTTGATATAATCTAACTTAGTATGAAAATCTCAACAGTTCCATTGTATCAGCATGGTCACTGTCATCTTAGTTGTTCACATCCAAATGAAGTGGTGTTTTGGTTTTGATTTTTGACCAATTTTTTTTGTATTAATGTTTAGGTCTATCCATTTCTATGCACTTTCTCTCTATCAAACATCAGGATTCCAATGAGCTAGTGCAAGACCAAATGATATTATTTTACTTTGAAGCTGAAGAGACTGATCCCAAATATTCACAGGTAGAAAAAAATACAGGGGTAGATGTTGATTATCCACTCATTTGCCATGAAAGGCAATACAGCTTTTAACAGTTCTGGATACACTCTGTAGGTGAAACAGAGATATCGATTTATAATCCCAAACTGGTAATGGAGTACAGTGTAGCTGCATAGCTATTTATTAAGAGATGTCACTATCTTTCTTGCCTCAAGGTATGACATTTAAGTATTTTTATCCTCTGTATCCTTTTCTCCTTGATACATTTAGAACATAATCTAACGTATGAGGTGTGGAAACCAAAATTGTTAACATATGGTTATAATTAACAATTGTAACTGTATGTAGTTTTTGCCACAGCAAGACATCTTGGAATGTCCAAACAACTGAGGTTGAAAACATGGGAGAGGGTTTGGAATATTTGGACTGAATTTCCAATTCAAACAGCCTGCCTTGACACTGGCAAGTGGATAAAGTGATGTAAATAACATAATAAGAACTCTAGTCAGCTCATACATACCATTTTTAAAAATACAGATTTCTTAACCTCTGAAATACTAACTGGATAAGTCAGAAAAAATATCTGATTTGGGGATGTTAAGGAGATCTCTATTGAAGATAATATCCCCTTTAGGAATTCAAAGTACTATGGGAAGTTACCTCAACAGCTTTAAAACTTCTTGGGGAGTTAATTGTCCTGTGGTCATGGTATTTCAACCTACAGATCACCCAATCTAAATTTCTTTGGAGAGCTTTCAAGCCATATAATCTATTTTGTATAAAAGGGAAACATCTTGAAATCAGAAGTTTCTGACAATGAATGTGAAATCAAAAATGAAGGCAAAAAGAGGGTAACCGTGGGCTTAGAGAGTTACCTATCTATATGATTTTTTACATTAATTTTTTCTTATTATATGAGAATACACAGAGAGAAAAGTTTGATACACAATGAGGACCCCCAACCATGGAGTTTTACAAAAGGACATACTATGCTGCCATTGAGAAGTGTAGCAACCTTCTTACATTAAAGACAACATATAAATAAATTGTAAGAAATTAATGACAAATAACACCCAATATGTTGTATACTATGAACATTTCTTCCCCTTACACTAATATTCCACTTGATGGTCTTAAAGCTTTAGAAACTACACTTGATTTATCTAATCGACTTTCAACTTGGCAAGATTTGCCCTTAAATATGTTTAAATCCAACTGCAAACACTAAATTCAGACTAATAATACTGCCATAGGTACCAAAATAACTTCTAATTTTGTTACCATATTTATGGACGATACTGAAAGAAAAATTTCAAAGAAAAACACTTTAAACATACACATTCGGAACAGTTGTAATGATATCTCCATTATTTGAACTGCCAATATTGAATTTCACCAAAACTTCTTTTAACATACTAACTCATTCCACAAAACTATGAAGTTTAAACAGACTACCCCACCCTCTATATATATATATATAGAAAATTATAATAATAATGTATATTAGCTTTCTTGATGTCATTACCACAATATCTTCACTAAGAAAGTTATCATCCTACCTAGATTAAAAATACATGACCTAGTAGTCCCTACACATAGAAAAATCTAAATTGATGGAAACAGTTAAAAATAAGAGGGAACCTTCAATAGCCACAGCACTTGAAATTCTGTTAGGATTAAAGTAAATTAACCTATAAGGCCTTTTTTTTTCCTTTTTATTAGCTATATTTTTCTGCACCAGCAATACTAAGCATGGGGTTTGCATATACCCAATTCAAAATTATTACTCATCAGGATCTTTACCAACCCTCAAACTGAAATTCTTTTAGGAAGGATTAGAGTAAATTAATCTACAAGACCTTGGGTGTGGTCAAATACATCTTCAGTCCAAAACTGTAATTAGATCTCAAATCAGTCAAGAGATGATGGAGCTAAGAGCTGAAAGTTTGTAGTAAAAAAAAAAAACTCCATGCCATTCTATGAGCCATATGTCATGTCTAAAAAGATAGAGGTACTAAAACAAACCATGATACAAAGGAATTTAAAACTAAAATTTATACAGATAGCTGTCAAACCTGCATGTTCATAAAACTACTGACAATTTCTCTGACAAATACAAGAAAAACCATTATAAAACAAACAGAAAAAAGAAAAGAGTGGTCACTTGTACAACACAAAACACCATCCATTTCATACAGCATAAAATATGTACTTTAAGTATGTTGGAAGAGCCCAAATTAGCTTTAGATAATATTTAAGAATCATAAATATTTTATTAACACTCAACAAACCTTTCTGCCACTTCACACTAACAAAACTGGATTATAATTGAGTGCAGATGAAAAAAAGTCTGGATTTCCTCTCTTAATGCCATTAGCCTTAAATATTGTTTCTTCGTTCTTTTGTATAATGTTAAAATAATAAATAACACACAACATTAAAATGGATACACAATTAAAAACATTTGTTAATTAAGGCCAATCTATGGCCTCCAAAGAGCTTTTTATATGTTTTGATGTTACAGCATCATCATCAGGAATGAATTAAAAGACATTAAAACTTTGATTCTAGCATCAATGGCCTTCAACCTTTGTTATAATTTCTGTAGTTAAAAATTAAGTTTCAACTTTTGACTTTTCAGTTGCCACTTATACTTCAGCTCTTACTTGTTTTACACTTTTTATATTCAGTGCACATTTCAATCATTTAGTTTATTCTTTATTTAATATATATATATATATATATATATATATATATATATATATTTGACCAG